TTTTCAGGGATGACAGCTCAATAAGACCAATTTCTATAGGTAGGGACCAATTTAAGCACTAATTCTGATAATTTGAAATGATGTAAGGAATCTTGATCATCAGATAGGGGTGAAACAAATTGTGTGATAAAAACAGAATCCTTAAGGTTGTTCTAATTCAATCTAGGCAAAATTATATACAATATATTCTTATAAATAAATGAGAAATTTATTGTTAGTATTAAGTGATTAAGCAATGATCTAACATTTTTAAAAATAGCTCCCATAATATGTATGCCATAAGTTCATCGTCAGTAAGCTTTTTGTAATTAATAAAGCTGAAGTTATTTCTAATTTGTAAAATTCACATCTATTCAAGTACACATCTTAATGTGTACAAAGTCTTGCTGTATGAGGTCAAAATATCCACAGTATTCACTCTTTATTGTGATTTGTTTATTCTGTTAAAAAATAGTAATCATAAGTTGCCTTTCCTTTGCTATCCAGAAAGCTATCAGTTGAGTAACACAGTAAACCTACTCACATAACCTCATGATTAGAAAAACAGAACATATGTACAATTATGCATAGTACTTTAAAGCCAAATATAAATTATTATTCTTATTTCTAATTGTAACATAAAATCATTTATTTATACAGCCTGCCAATGTTCATATAGCTCAAAATGAAGTTTTTAATAAAACACTTAACTCAAAATTTATGACTTTTGTTCTTTAATACATTTTCCCCCATATGTGAAAAACAAAACAAACAAAAAAAAAACTGCAGATGAATCTATCTATGACTTAAAAAGGTATTTCATTAGCAGTTGGATGCTTCTAGAACTTTAAAAACAGCAGAATAAAGAAATCTTTCGTCACTTTAACTCCATTATATAAGCTCATTTTGCCCTTTGAATGTTTTCCAAACTAAGACTAAATAATAATACATTTGGAAGCTAACAAACTGAATAAAATTACTGTGGAGAGAAGAAATTAAAAAAGAAGAGTGATTTAGTTAAATTCTGTCCTAAGCAGGAGAACAGAAGAGGCAAATAAGCAAGAACTAAAACTCATGTTTAATTTGTGAAATGGTCTATGTCATGCATTTTGGGAGGCACAAGCACATGCTGTTTCACAATTCAAGGACATAGACTCCACCTCTTGCTTCCTTGGTTTTCAGTCTCCCACTATCCTCAAGCCCAGGTGTTAACAACATTCTTTGTATTCTTTTTTACTCCCAACCCAACCGTAAATGAAATTATTCTCAATTCCAAAATAAACTCAACTTAATTGAGAAAGAAAAAAGAAACAAACTATAATTTTTATGCTTGTTGGTTATTTTTAACATATTAGCAATCAATAAATGCCACACTTGGCCCAAGAACTAGTCCCCTAGATATTGAGCACCTAAATACTGCTCAAGTGCTAAGTCATTACCCCCAATAAGTACCTCAGGTAGAGTAAATATTGCCTCATTGACACTTTATATCACATTTCCATAAAACTAAAGAAATAGGAAGGAGAAATCAAACTGGTTTAGAAAATATTCATGAAGGGAAAAACACTAAATAATTTAAATGTTCTTGGTAAGTAATGTAAATCAACTCATGGTACATAGAGATAAATTCTTTATTTTTTTCTAATAACTGACTTAAAATTCATGAGTTTGGTGGAGATTTTACAAATATAGAATAAACATTCAAAATTAAAAAAAAAAATAGTTCAGAGTCTGAAATCAGGTCCAATCCTTAATGTATTAAGGAAGAACTGAACCTGATGTTTGTCTCCCTCCCTCTCTCACCCTTTACACACTATCGTACCTCTTCTACACAAATTCCTAATTCCTATCATACTGGAATTTTTGTTGATGTTATTTTTCTGAAAACCTTATTTCTTTCCTCATCCACCAAGGACATTCCCTCCTCTTCTTTGCATTTACTTGCCCATCCTCGAAGGCTGAGCTTAAAAGTTACTCTATTGAGGAACATTTTTCAGATTCCTCCCCCTGCTCCTGGGGTACCTACCTGTCCTTTAGAACCAGTTCTGCCTACTAGAGGTTCTTACCACACTTTTCATTTCTCCACTGGAAAATGGTTTGTATTTGTAATTCTTTCTGAAGCATTTTCTTCTATCAGAGATAGCTGGGGCTGAGTGTAAGCCATCATGTTTTGTTTATGACTGGTACATGTCTGGCAACATGCAAGGGTCACAGTAACACTTGATGCATATTTCCTGAAGGAATGAATTAGATACTGGGAAATTAAGACCTATATTAGATCCTGCGGATATGAAGATTCTTACTGTTTGACATTTCTCAGATATTAGTTGGAAAGACTGATGGGAAAAAATAAAGAATGGATTCTGACTAGGAATGTCAGAAATATAAATTCTGGAAGAATTAATCTTCATATTTGATAGCTCAATTAACAGTGCATATTCTTCTTTGTATATAATTATATATATATATATGTGTATGTATATAATTTTTAGTTGTCAATGTACCTTTATTTTACTTACTTGTGGTGCTGAGGATCAAACCCAGTGCTTCACACATGCTAGGCAAGTGCTCTACCTGAGCTACAACCCGAGCCCTTTTGTGTTACAATTCTAATGCATTTTATTGTTTGTACATTTGACAAAATATTCAGGTACTACTCATTTACATCCACATTTCTATTTTAAATCCCATATTTCATTTAACATCCCATGATCACATTTACTAAGTAACATAATTTTCTTTTGTTTAATATACATTAATAATAACCTCATGCATATTTTCTGAGTATAATTGCAAAAGTTTAAATCTTAACAATTTTCTACCATGTACAGATTCTTCCATAACATAGGAGAATCATGAACACTGCTGTTCCATCTATATCATTTTTATAAAATTTCTGAAAAGTCTAAAAGTTTGTTTTCAAAATAGTAACTTTTTGTTTATTAAGTACAAACCTAGTCATTTAAATCCAAAAATAACAAAAATCAATGGAAATGGGAACCATAGTTCCCCTGACATCTTAGGCTATCTGCAAATTATGCTTGCAAAATTTTGACTTCACTTGAAAGTATCTCTCTTTCATTTACATCCAGTGACCATAATCAAAACTATTTGGCTTTTTATTCTTTTTGACTGATCTCAGATCACAGAAAACCAAATATTCTTCCAATAAAAAGGCATAAAGGACTTGTCTACACACTAACAATTGTTTTCCAATTTAATATCTTCTTTCTGCTTCCTATATATTTGAGGATATGTGCTCAATTTCAAAATTATTCATTTATTCAACAAATATTTATTCAACATTGATGATATTCCAAGCGCACTTTTATTATGTTATTGCATTAGTATTGGAAAAAGGACTTTAAGATATATTGAATCTCTTTATTGTGCAAAGGAGGAAATTGAGGCTTAGTGAGGGTGGATGACCAATTCTTGACCACACCAAGAATTCATCAGAGATAAAACTCTTGCTTTCCACACCACCCATTTTCTTCCTGAGTGCTTTCAGATTTGGATTATTAAATG